TTTTTAAAAGTCAGGCTCCAAAAGCCCAAAGGAGATATAACAGTTTTTGTTTGCTATATGGATCATTTTAGTTCAGCTGGGTGTCTTTCCTTTTGTTATATTTCTTTAAGAGTTCAAAATGTGTTAATTACATAAATAAAATGTAATTTTCTCTGTAGCACTTCATGGATTTAAGCAACACACCTTAGTTGTTCACACAAAGCATAAAGGTAGAAAACAATATATACAGTGTTATTTTAGATGTCAAAAAATATTTTGCAGCTCCCAGTGTTGAAATCATGCTGGTCTGGTGCAGTGCAAAGCACTAAATGTACAACTTTTTTGTAAGTGGAAAATTGCAATAAAATCAAAGCCTGTAATACTCAAGTGTATATTAAAGAGCTGCTATAACTCATTCACTTGGCCTTGTGAACTGGTCAATCTCCAGGAAGACACATTGCTGGATTTGGGCTATAAGGCGCACTATAAATCCTTTTAATTTTCTCAACATCGACAGTGCATTTTATAATCCTGTGTGCCTTATGTATGAATTCCAGTTGTGCTTACTGACCTCGAACCGATTTTATCTGTCAAAAAATGTTGTAGTACGACTTTGGTAAGCTAAGAAGCTGCACTGCTTGATGGATTGTTAGAGCATCACGGCCACCGTAGTCAGGAGCCTCGCGGAGTAATCTGTGTCCAAAACTCCGTCCGCTTCAGGTCCCAAAGTCAAACGAACACTGCAGCATCACTGTCTGAATTCTTTCACCTTTAATAAAATGATCAGCATTGCTGCTTTACCAGATGTAACAAGTCTAACATCCAGGCATCCATGAAAACAGAATTTACTAAATTTAATGGAGTTAGAAGTTAGCTCGCTAGTTTCCACCTAAACATTATATAGCATGTTCTGACTGAGAGATTTCTGAAAAAATTAAAATGTACAGCTCTGCTATCACTTCCAACATAAATGAAGACAGAAAACTAAACAGCAGTGATGCTTGTAGGGTTACTGAAGTTGGTCTAGCTGGTATAATGATGTGCTAAGTGATTGCTAGCGACCCAGCTATTTTAGCATAACAAACAGTGAAGCTAGAGGATGAACGCTAACTTTTTTCAACTCGATAAAAGTTAACGTGAGGGTTCCCGATGGTTAGGGACAAATGCAATTGCTTGGCAGTATGGGGCGCCATTTCTAAAGTGAAACATGCTGAAATTAACAACATTTTTCCACATTTAGCTCAAAACCTTAAAACATGTTTTTTCAAGTCATTTTTTTTTTAACAACATTTAGTAAAATATTTGTAACTTTTCATATTTAAAACACAATTTTAAATGTTAAATATTAAATCTCAATGTTAAATATTAAATCTAAATGTAAATCTAAATATTATATTTAAATCTAAATGTTAAATCTAAATGTTACAGGAAACTAAATATTTAGCTAACATGCAAATTAATTGTATGGCTCAACGGAAATACCCAAATAAAAGCTTTACGAAAACCTTCGGTGCAAAAGTGTGCCGGTAGTGGTCAGATTGTGTCTGCTCTCCCCTGATGGTCACTTTTCAACACCATAAGCGGCTTCACTTCTTGCCTACCAGCACGTCCAGCGATTTAGCTGAAAACATCGGAAGATCCGTTTTGTCGGCCATCCAACAAAGGTTCAGCAGTAGTGCACTCTCAGCAGCTGGAGTCTCCACTTCACAATCGCTGCAGCACATGTCCAGCGATTTAGCTGGACATGTGGACTCTCAAAACGGGACTGGAACTCAAAATGCAGCTTTAATGCTGGCAAAACTTTCCCATAAAATAAAACTCACAAAAGCAAAGCAAAAACACGACTTAGAACTACGGTGCCGGAAAACTGGCCATAACAAACACACAGCATGTTGAGGTTACAATGCAACAGAGTGCACAGGAAAACACAGGGCTTATATAGACAGGGAAGTAATCAGGGAATGAGAAACAGAAGGGAGACACAGCTGGGAGAAATTAGGCTAACGAGACAAGGGAGAAGTAAAACACACTGACATGAGACATGAACTTTCAAAGTAAAACAGGAAACCTGAAACAATTCACAAAGATGCTGACTGAGAAACATGGACTTTACACAGAGGGACACACTAGTAGAGAAGACTAAGCACAGAACTAAACCTATACTAAACATGAGGGCAAGAGAACAAAACCTAAACCAGAATAATTATAATAATCAACACAGGATAGCTAAAGAATCAGAACATAAATATAATGAACATAATCTAGAAAAACACTAAAATACAAGAAACCGAAAAAGCTGGTTCAAAATGACCCAGAACCGTGACACCTTGTGTATAAAAACAGACCCATTCATCGACGGTGCGCCTTATGATCCAAAAAATACAGAAAAATTCTTGCTGTGTAGACATGATGAACAAAAGAGTTGCACCTCCTGACTTCAGGTTGAATGCAGGGGACATGGTATCCCTAATATTTAGACTGTGCCTTTGTCCCTCTAGTAATATATGAAAGGAGCAAATCGGTCACTAGAGACTGATTTCTTTACTTGAAGGCAGGAATTTCCATCATGAATGTTGCAGAAAACCCACTAAATCCACCAGGAAAAATTGAGGCTGACACTTGTCTTTTCCTGGGGGAGGATACCCAAACCATCGGATTAATGTGCCACCCAAGCCCTCACACCTGCTCACCTTAAGACACAAAGGGGCGATCGGTTACCATCAGAGGAACACACTGTCATGTTAGGAATTCCTCAGGCCTCTGGAGTCACTGTTAATCAGGGAAATGCCCCAAGTTAAATAGAGCATGGAAGCCTGTCAGGGGAAGGTGGACTGGAGTATCAGGAGAAAGACTACTAACCACACAGGGAGGCAGAGCAGTGGGGGATTTCTCCGGAGAAACGACTGATTTTCTGTGGCTGTGTGTGTCTCTGGCAAGATGATTTGGGCCACAAAGTTGAAATCACATTGCCAGAGATTACTGCACTGCTACGGAGTCTCCGACTGTTCCTGGAGGGCATGCATATACCTGTGTACTGGAGGTTCTTCAAGCAACCAGTCTGAAAGAGCTCATCCGAGGCACGGTCAGTGGATTGGTGCCAGCTGTGTCATGTGTACAGTGTCTGATTGGGTGAAGAGCTTAGTTGACTGCTGAACAGGGAGTCTTGAATATTTGTTCACAGTGGCTAAGTTCGTCACTCATACAGAGACGATTGATTTTAACTTGGCGACTGGCTCTATTGAAGACTGTTTTATGAGGACATTACACTCCTGCCATGTTTTGTTCATTATGCAGAATTTCACCCTGTGACTATCAGGAGGTCACATGTGGAGTCTCTTTACCATCTTCACGATCCCCTGAGAAAACATCTGGCCTCCCCCTCGTGCTTTCTGAGCTGACAGCAGTTTGATCAAACACACTGGCTCAGTTCAGCAGGAACGAGAGTTTAGTCAGCGGGCATCATCTTAATGCCAGATGAGCAAATTTGTCCACAAAGAATTGGAAGTGTT